AGTGTATACATGCGTATATTTTGTCCATACGATTAATAATGCATAGCTGGTGCATCATAACAGAATAATGAGGCCATAATCAGTGATGAATAGAAAATATTTATATTTATGTATTAGTATAGTGACAGTTATTTTTTACTCAATTAAAATAGATTACAGGGTGTGTTTTGTGATAATTTTAAATTTTACATAAAGGAACGTCAAATTATAAAATAGTGTAAAAGGTTTATTTTCTAATATTTTAAGTTTCAGTGGCAGAAATCTGGTGTGGTCATCAATAGCTGAGTTTTCGTTTATGTAAACGGTATAAAAAAACGAAGTAAAATAGTATAAATTTCCACAAACCGGTTGACGACGTTATTTCACTTAGTTAAATCAGTGACATTAACAACTAAAAACTTTATTGATTATTAACCAATTAACAGAGCGTCTAAAATGTTTGTCTAGTCAGCTTTTTATTTATTTCTTTATATGTAGTTACTTATCCCTATTTCTTATGACGTTAGCATTATTTCCATGTTCACTGTTTAATTTGATAAGATCTGGCAAATATTATTATTACAATATAATCAAAGTATTTATAATGGAATAGCTACACGAATTAGAAAGAATTTCAATTGCTAGTTAATATTCAAATTTTTATGTAACTATAAAATGTTATCAGTATATAACTAAACTAGTTTATATGAAAATGAAATTCGATACTGAATTTTGTTTGCGTCATCTTTATGCTTTAATATTCTAGTTACTATTCGTTGATTAGTAAATAAATAAATATAAGTTTAATTGGTATGATCTCTCTACGCTGCACAAAATCTCTATGTTAATGGATGTTCAAACTTAAATCTAATGAGTTAATTCTCAAAAAATTGAAGTTTGTTAAATTCACACTTGTTTAACATTATCTTAAATACGCATCTACTCCAAATGAATGAACTCAGACAATTGAGTAAGGTTTATCTTTGATTACTTTCAACATAGTAATGAAAAGCGAAACGTGTTACATTTAATTATTTCAATGGCTTTTTTATCGTCAATGAAAATCATTTGAGGAATAATTGCAACTTCACTCTAGCAGTTTATAAACAAACATAAATTAGAGCCCAGGAATTTCCTTTTTCACAGATAACACATTTCTGACCAAATTAGTCGAAATTCTCTGGTTCATATCAAAACTATAAGTTCGTAAATATGATAGATTAAGGCTTTCAAACAAATAGAAAATATCATACTGATTTCGGGTTATTATCTAATGAAAGTGTAAATAAAGGTTCCTGACGTTATTCAACTTAAAAAAGCTTTATACGAAAGTTGTAAGGTAAAACAATATGATCGTTGTTAAATACCATTATCTATCTTCTGAATAACCAAGAATATATTCATAAATACATACTATATAACGTTAAAATGGACTATTCCTCAGTAATTTGTATACAATCGGTATAATATTTTTATCAAAAATTAATTTATCTAACATATTCATATACTGTAACTTGAATCGCTTAAATTGAGTAGGATAGTTCCAAAATTAAACAAAGGAAACCGGTATTATGAAGGGAAAAAAAACAAATCAATTAGATTGTTCTAAAGAACTATAACTCAGATAGAGAAATAAAAATGATTTTATCTAAGTGACGCGTACAGTAGAATAATTATTTTTCCATTATAATTCAAAAAACTGAATCATTGGAAATGTCCAAAGCTAAATTTATTAGTTTTGTTTCTACTTAGTGGAATGATGAGTAATCATCAAAAATATTGATAAATTGTACAAATTTTTTTTGGAATTTCCCACCATCTACATCTAGAAATACAAACAAAAAATAGATTGCCACAGAAATTACAGTCATTTTTTGTATTTTTAATAGTTTCATTTGTTCCAAACTATAATTATTTATTAAATTCATTTGGTATTGTTTGTTTGAATCTTCCAATTGATGTTTAGGACTGCAACTGGTCAGTCTCTAGTTGGCATATGTGCATACTGTGTGTATTGCCTCGATATAGTCTTTATTCACAAGCATTGTAAGCAAAGATGGATAGTGGTCTGCAATGGGATATTACTTATAGTAATCAAATCTATATTTTGAGTCAATGTATAATTGATCAATTTTAATAAAATTATTTCAATTCATATATATATATATATATATATATATATATATATATATATATATATATAATTTCATTGTACACCATAAACTTAGCACTTTCTTAGGTTGAATTGTTATTAAAGCCTTAGCCATACGAAAATTCAAACCCCCTTTGTAAATTTAAAAACAGTTTGTTTTCAGCTTAAACCTACCCTAGTAATATTAGCTTATTATCCAGAGTGATTAGATTTCAAATTGTTTTCACATTATTTTTATTATTATTATCCTTGTCTATTTCTTAACCTTATTACCAGTCTAGTTGACCTTTTATTTTTATATATAAATGTTCTTAACAAGTATATGTGTTATCAGATTGTTCGAAATGTATTGAGCTAATATATCACATAGTTCTGATAATCTAAGTCTTCTTATTACATTATCGGAATTTATCAAAGGGACTAATTGCTTTAAATGTGAATTGTTATAGTTCTACTTTTTGCTCTGAGTAAAATGATAAGACAGATACTTCATTTTGAATGCCTAAAATAATAAGTCATCATTTTACAAATCTGGATTTTCAGTTATATTACTTAGATATAATATTACAATACGTTAATTGATCATTTCAATATTTTATATGATTACTTTATGAACCTTTTGTTGATATATTCAGATATATATTCAGACAATTTATTTTTTTACATTTCGTGCAATCACAATGTAAAAGCAGTTCGTTCATACATGTTATGTGGCGATTTTATTAGGGACATTTTTCCTCACTCACGTAAAATTATTTGTCTTTTCTTATTTAAAATAAATACTTTTGGATTGGTTGAAGTTAGACATTAGCACCATTGAATCCCGGCTCAGTGGTCTAACGGTTAAGTGCTCTGAAGCGAGACTGGTAGGTCCTGGGTTCGAATCTCGCGAGGCGGGATCACGGATGCGCGCTGATGAGGGTCCCACAATAGGACGAAACCGTCGTCCAGTGCTTCCAGGTTTTCGATGGTGGTCTAGCTTCAGTTGACTCATGATTTCAACTATGAAAATATTTTTGAGCCTGAAAATTTTTGATTAGTTAGACAAATTTATAATTTTGATTTGTGAGAATGTTAACCGTTACATAAGAATTGATAAAACCAATAATAAAACGGAATGAATTTATATTAATCAAACCACCTATAAGCTTATATAAAATTCTTTGTAGAAACCGACATTTTGTGGTTAAATTGCAAAGTAGTTTGAGCGAAATTTCAAAATTGAGTTTCATCTTTTTTATCTATATATATAACATTTTTGTGTTGAGGACTCGATCCACTACTGTTCAACAATGAAATGATTGAAATTCAGTATGCATTGTTTTAGATATATACTAGACAAACTTTAAACCAAAATAAAAGTGTGCACGGGATTTAATTCGGAAGCTGCAAACTGAGTAGCTTCAGTAGTGTTCAGCATTTTAATTTTATACACAATGGTTTATTAAAATAATGATACGAAACCGACAAGAAAAGTAATGAAGATAAAGCACCATGCTACTAAATTTGTTTCCACGAGTCACTTGATAGTAAGTACGTGCTAGATCTCAGGCGTCATATTTAATACATCGAATTCAGTCGCTTTTTGTCTCTATTTATTATATTCAACTTTTGGACTAAATAAAAAGCAACTTTCCTAACTGAACTTCTCAATTACGGAAATACAGATAACGAAGCAGTCATCTCTTTCTAACATACTTCTGGGAAAACAATTACATCCTAATCAAAAGACCGCATATTTTGTTTCTAAAAAAACATCATTCAAAAAAGTTAAAAAGAACTATAGTTTGTATCACAAAGTTACATATTTTATAGTAGATGTTGTGTTTCATCAGTTAAATGGTATCTAAATATCTTTAATGAATAGTTTCAGTCATTCGACTGTGGGACTAGGCAGTCAAACCAATTCTTGCTTGTCATTATTGGATATGGCCCACAAATATTTTTATTATTTGCTTTCGTCTAAACTAGTGGATTACAAGTTAAGATTTGTTGTCATTCTTCTTTATTATTTTGTCAAATATAGTTTTGAAAGAATTAAGCCGAATAAATAAGTTCTACTCAATCACTATTCAAAATTATGTCACAACACCATAGGTGTTTTATTTCTCTACATCTAGTGTAGTATGACTTCACCATTTCTTTTCCTCAGATTTTTGTTTATGTATTGCTACTACTAAGCTTCGAATTCAATTGGTAACTCAGTGAGCACGTCCTCCGTAAACCTCAGATTTCCAATTAGTTTTTAAACTACACCTGTAATTGTTTCATAAGACACATAAAAGCTTACACTAATTTTTCATTAACAAGACTTACTTATGATCCAAAATCCGGATCCTTTTTCAGATAGCAAGTAGTCATGCATAACTGTAAATGAAGTGAATATTTTTTATTTAAGGCACTCATTTAAGGTCTGGATCAGGTATGATGTTACCTAGTACTCAGTGTCAAACAACTATTTCCGTTGATGAAGTTTGAATTCTGTTAACTTAGATATGTGATTTAATAGTTTATTAAATTATTATTGTTTTTGATATTAGTAATTTATGTAGTTTCAGTTGGCCGCAAAGACCAGATAGTGGTTGTTTTGGTTGTGCTGAGTCAGTTACTTCTTGACTAGCTTTTCAACAATATATCTGAACCCAGTAGTGAATTCCTCTAATTTAAATCTAGAAGTACTATGATTTATTCAAAACTAGTGATACCTTCCGTTGAAACGTATCACTGTATGCTAAACTTATTTTAGGGATTTCACGACAATTTCACCCAACCATCATGCTAAGCTTGTTTCAGATAAATTGAAGATTTTTTACATAAAAGTTTGTCACCCCTATATTAAATATCGATATTTTGATTTATTGCCTTACAGCCTTATGACCCCTTACTTGTACGTCAGAAACGGAATTTCAGATATAGTCAATCCATATATTCTGACTGTATTCGAAATACAATTAACAGTACTAGTAATTGTAATAAATTACGAAATATGGCAAAAAGTGAATATAAAGAAATGAAAATACTCAAACCGAAACTAACAAGTTCGACACAAGCTAAAACTTATTGTCATCCTACACAATTTATTAAAGCATTACATAATAATAATCCGTTACGTTTTCGATATGACAAAAATAGTACTGTTTCTGATACTGCTATTTCTGGCCTTACAGATAATTCCATTAATAAGACAGATTTGAATGATGCTGAATCAAATGTTGATGATGAATATGCAGAGGACAATCCACCAAAATCTTGTGAAACATTTGATTTTTTTAAAATGCCTGATATTTATGAATTAAATGTTCAAGCTGCTAAAAGGCTAAAAAGTGAGATTAGTTATCTAAAATATAAACGAAAATGTCAAATACGACTTACTGCATTGATTACTGACTTATTCAATACTGTGTATACTAAATCAGATTTTTCAGTGAATGCTGTTGGTAAGTACCAACTTTAAAATAATATTATAATTTACTATAACTTGTTGATGTTTTGGTGATATATTCATGGAAATTAATTGATGTTTTTTTGCTAATAACTGCTACTAATCGGCAAACATATAGATAATAAGAAATGAATAGTAGCTAGCAATCGAATCCAGGAAGCATGTATCATCCTATTTGGGACACGTCAGATGAATGTACCTGCATCCTAGAGTTGATGTTCGCCCAAGGACTCGAACTCAGTAACGTTTGCTTCAAATTACATCGCTTTATCTACTTAGCTACTGAGTCAAAAAGGTCACAAGCTTGTACAGTGAAGTGAAGTTTTAATTTATTTTTGTATTGGTTGTTTGAATCTTCCCATTGATTTTTAGGATTGCAATTGATCAGTCTCTCATTGGTATATGTGCATCCAGTTCGAATAGCCTCGATGTTACCTCAAATGACAAGCATTACAAGCGGTAGCTAAGTGAACAGCGCTATAGCATTTGAAGCAAACGTTACCGGGTTTGAGTCCGTGAGTGAACATTAACTCTAGAATGCAGGTACATCCATCTGGCGTGTCCCAAATAGGACGAATCGTGCTTCCTTGATTCCACTGCTAGCCACAATCCATCTCTACCTATAATGCTTTGATTTGAGACAATATCGAGGCAATCCGAATAGGATGCACATATGCCAATAAGAGATTGAACAATTGCAGTCGTAAACATCAGTGGGACGATTCAAACAATCAATCTTCCGAAATATCTAAAATTGTAAATCAATTATTTAAGTAATTTTAGTGTGTTTGTGGTGTTTAGTTATAGAAATATGAAAAACTTAAAAACATTGGACGAAATATATTTATTTACAGTTAACATAAATCTTATATATGCACAATTAAAACTAGTCCCTTTAAACAAAGAGCATAGGCAAAGAAAATTTCGAAACTATTTACAGTGAGCATTATTTCGTTGAAACTTGATAACCAACAAATATACTAGATTCATTCAAGTATGTTTGGTTGACTAGTAGTCATCTTCAGTGTAAATGAACCTGGTAGCATGTTTACATTTTTCAATTGCATTTTCACTATAGTTTTCTAATTTCACAGTGAATGATATAAGTTGGAAAACCAAGATTCATAAACTAAATCGTTCCATTAAATGGAAGGAAATCGTTTTTTTGGCAATGATTTTAATCATTTAGATTAATTGAACTTAAAAATTTTTGTTGATTAAACTTCCTGTTATTAGATTTTGACCGCTACATTTCATTCGTGCTGAAATCAAACAACATAACACATTTGAAGTTGAAAGGTAAAGGTTTCTACGACACAAGTAAATCGCTAAATCAAAACATAACAGTCCGTATTTTCTCTCTCTAATCCATGCACGAAATGCGATGAATATCAAATGTCGACAATAGACGTCCATTTTGCTTTCTCTGAAGATAATCTGAAAAAATTACCAAAACCACTAGATGACTTTTCTTTCTTTAGTTTCCTCTCCATTGGGACAAAAATTGCATACTTTTAAAGAGTATTAATCTATTGTGAACTACGTCCTCTATTATAGGTCACATTTGGTGACTGTTGAAATAATCTCTTTGGGTTGTAAAACTATATCAAAAACCTATCCGATTATTTGTCATTATACATATTCCGTAGCTGTTCATATATCTTTAAAAACCTTTTAAAATAATTAAACTCCGTTGGAAAATGTTCAAAGTCTCTTCTGTTTTAAAAATGAAGCTTAGTAAATAGTTCATTAGATAAATTAAATGAGAAAAGTTGAATAAAATTTCAAAGGGATGAAAAGATGACTTTAGAAAAAACCTAAAGTAAGATAAATTAATTTAATGATTAAGTGTTTTGTTTGTTTTAATTAAATCACTTCTAATTGTAAAGAAAATTTACTCATTTTTCATTTAAATATTCAAATGTGGATGTGAAATTTCACATTCATCCTTAAGACTTATATGATCAATAGAAACAATCAGAACCACTAAAACTCTCACGAACCAATCTATCTAACTGAAGTATGTCTGCATATTTTAGCAACAATCAGAAATCACGTTAACCCTAACGGTGGACATGCCATGGATGTGCATAGGTTCCAGTTGACACAAGCCACATTTGAACGTTCTTACTTGTGAGATATTTTATACATTAGATCTTAGTTAAATATGAATAACTAAATGACTCTTAATAATATTATCCAGTTCAAAAACTGAAATTGAGCAAATCCACTAAGCCCACTGAATTTATTTGCTTAGATTATCCAGTTTTTTTTTACAAACGCTCATAAAACATAAACGATTTACCAAAAGGTTGAGTCACTTGGCTGAAATGATATATATATATATATATATCGCATTAAATAATCAGGATACTTTGATTGGTTTTAAAGTAGGGAAGGGTCTTGGTGCTTTCAATAAGCATCCCGTTTGTTTGAACTTTGTTTCGCTTACTTTGGTATAAAATCACGTACTGTATTATTAGCTGGATGGCTGGAAACCAAATAAATGAACCCATACTTAGTAACTGAGCTAAACTAATACAATATATATATATATATATATATATATATATATATATATATTACAATTTCCCTTTGTTATAATGATGTAATATCTTTCTGTTCACAAATTTTTTATTCAAATTTTAGATTCTTCATCAGAGAATCAGTTGCAAAAGTCAATTGAATATGTATTTCAAAAGCTATTTGGACCAGTATGTAAATATTTACGTCTTACTAAACAACACACTTATCACACCAGAGGTATGATATTGAATCGACTTAAAATTTATTTACAATACAATATGTCAGCTGAATCATTTCTCAGTGTCTATTTTAATCCACCAAGTGAACTATTTCACTTACAATGTTATCATCATCAATGTAATGATAAAGTCAATAATCCTAGGAATAATAGTCAAAATTATAGATACAAAATATGTCAAAATGATACTAACCTATTGAAATTCGAGAAAACATACTCAACAGAAAGAAATGTGAATAATGCATTGGAACAATCAGGTAGAAATAAAAACATTAAAAAAGAGTTTAATTCAAATACGAAAGTATTCCAAACATGGAAATTAAGATTATGTGATCCATTAATTAATGCTTCAGTTTATGATGGCTTTCGATTTGAATTAGTTCGTTCGGACATGAGACTATTTTGTGTTGTTAAACAATTTTCAATGCTTCAGTTGATCAAAGCGAATGTACCGATTTGGTGGTCAGGTATTACGTATGAGCGTAGTAATATTATATTACCACCGTCTACAGTTGAAACGTGCATTGGAAGTTCAGAGAATATGGCTGAAATTAAGCTTTAAATCTGTGTATTTAGTTTTAATGTTTCGACAAACCATTTTTGAAATATGATCTTTCTCAGTGTCATTTCTCTATTTTGTAAATATCAAGCACGTCAAGTAGATGACATTTTCTATATTCTTTCATTCGGAGACATGAGAATAATGTCTGAAATAGATCAAAATATGAAATTTTATTTCAATTACTCGCTGTTATGCTTTCTATTTCAATAAATATAAGAAATTAAAAAAGTAAAAGCCAGAAGAAGATTTTTGGAAGTCTTCTGTATACAGTTTCTTCAAATATTTATTGTCGTAAAATCGAAACAGTGAATAAGCTTAAATGAGAAGTGTTGTGGTTATTGAACCCTAGCACTAACCAAGTGTGCTACTGGATAAACTATGAAACCTGTGAGTTTACAAATTCTACTACGCATCTTTTCTGGATATATTATCATCAGGTAACTACAATTTATTTTCAGCAGGACAGTTTATCAATTACCTGACAAAAACTATTTTCAGCAGTTGTTTGACAGATATAGTTTGGATTAGGTCATCAAACACCAACCGTGTTAAATTAAATTTGAAGAGATTTTTAAGTTATGAGGTATTTGTTATCCTATAATAAATTGAAATTTTAGGAAATGTTCTGTCATATGTGATGTTAAAATAACGTAGCACTACTTCAAATTCGATATACTACAATTATAAAAACATATATTTGGTTCTATCACATCATCATATTATATCATTATATGTCATGTTATTTTCATATTAAAATATCTGAGATGAGTATTCGTGATATATTGTACTGGCTTTTTAATTGTTAAGTGCTTCTGACAACTAAAAGTTCAAGAAAATATACCCTGAATTCTCAGCAAATTAAACATCAAACCATGAATCCACCAAACAACGCTTGGATAACTTTTACAACTGATGCATCTTCTTATATAAGAGGGTTAGAGATAAATAAACGATAATAACTAACAAAACATCAAAAATATTTTAAAAGACAATCATTAAAATAGTATTATACACGAAGTAACTTGTTCATTTCGAAACATAACTAAGTATATCCAAAGCATTTTCGCTTCTGAAACATAACTTTGGGCTATAAGCCTCTTACTATATCAGACAAATATACTTCAAAGTTTCGATCAATTTAAAATACAAAAACTACAAAGTATAATGATGTTCATTGGAGATTTCATCCATCCTACAAAAATAATGTTTCCGACCTTTTATCAAGTTTAATAGTGGGAATTCAGTCGTCACTAGTAAACGGTAAGTAGAATGAGAGTTCTCAGGTATCAAGTTTGGAAAAAATAGTGTTCGTCGAATGTTTCTTACTAGAAAAGCTAGAAAGCTGTCTTAACTAACCAATGTTCTTCCATAATCTATAAACCAACATATTTTCCAAATACTTGGATCGGTTCTTATCAGTTGTAATCTTATCATTCATAGTTTGTTTTAATCGACTGGTAAAGAAAACTAATGAGAAAGAAAATATCGCTGACTTCTAACCTTGGATTAAGTGACTGTCAAGTCTATTATTAATAAAGTATACTCGTCTTTATTTATAAAATCTTGACTCTCATATTTAAGAACTATAAAGTTGAATCGTTTCTTTTTAAAGTGAATATATACAAGTTAACTTTTCTTTAATTCAAAGATACTAGTCGATTTTTCTTTGAGGACATTTCTAATGTCAAGCGATTAAACCTTATCTAACTTGCTTTCCTGATATCTTTTAATATTTAACTTTCATAAAATTAACATCCTTGATACAAACGTGAAGTTAGTGTATAATTTTGAAATGTAGTAGTAAATATCTAGTAAGTCTGATAAGTAAATATTTACAACATCATTCATTAACTAGGTGTTAATGAATCAATCGAACAAATAGTTAGATTTTAACATAACTACCAAATGTACATGCTCATTGCAACATGTACTTGGAGAAGGGTTCCAGGCCGTGATACTTCAGATCCATTGCCCAGGCATCAGCAGCAACAAACTTTTGTGGCAATTAACAAACTAGCTTTTGTCTTAAGAGGAAATTATGGAAAGACTCTGGAGGCGGATAGGATACACATTGTGAAAATCATAAAACCCTAACCTGGAATCCTGAAGGTAAAAGGAGAAGAGGCATACATAAAAAAAATGAAGAGTACTTGGCAACGACTGAAAGCGAGAGCTCAGGTCAAAGTAGGTTGAAAATTCCTGGTTGATGGCCTGTTTTGCATGGAGGGTAACAGACGTAATTAGGTAAGTCATCAAATTATTCTTTCACATAATAAAACCACAAATGATTAATAGTTTCGTTAGAAATCATATGAATTGCTGGTTGAATCAAAGGGGACAAAGGAAAATGCGTTCTAAAATTTAGACCTTCATCAAAATTTACTATTAGATTTAATGCTGACTATTGTAATTCTCTAATTTCAGGTACAGCATCTATCTAAAACTGTGTAATCAAGAACATGTACTTTAATAGTTTGTATTTTCAAGTTTTAAAATTGAATTTAAAGTAGTTTATTTATTACATTTGATTAGTTACTACGGTTCAACGTAATGTTAGATTAATTACCATAGTTTACAGTTTAATCAATCTGCCTTGTTCAGCGTAATGGTAATATATATATATACTTTAGTTTATTTTATTCAAAATCACAGGAAGCTTGAATATCCTTATCTAGATGTACTGAAATCACATATGAATTTTACGTTTACTATATTGCACACGAATTCAATACAAGAAATAAAATTAAAATATGTCAAGTTACATAGATTTACCCAACTGTAGACCGACAAAGCTATTAAGCAACTTAATGTTGACCCTCAAGTCACTCTGAATTTTATTCAGAAATATGCTTTATGCAACTGACTGAAATGATCATTGTAATGGCAACAGAAATTAAAATCATAAGATACTGCCTCAAGTACAGCAAACAACATAAATGAATATACATTACATGATGGACATTTAGGTATCTAAAAATATGACTTCCATAAAATAAGTATTTTGATGTTATGACATTTCACGATAAGATCTAAAAAACAGACTGCTGAAAATATCATCTTTTTATTACTACTCTATGTAGAGGTAATTTATATGGAAACCATTCATCTAAACACATACCTACTACACTACATAAAATACCTACTGAGTTTCAAACAATCATTTAAATACTAACTATTGCAACTAAAGTTGTAAATTAGCTACTTGATGATAATGTAAGAATCAAGATATACTTTGGTATTAAATCACCATCATAAATATAAATACATATAACGTAAAACTGGTATCATTTGATATGCAGATGAAAACTGCTTCCCCTATGACTAATAATGTTATACGGTGACAACTGCATATGTGATCGAGTGTCATCCCCTGACTATCTGTAGTACAATTCTCATTTTGGAGAACTCTACATGGATAATTATGACTCAGTTGAGAAGATAACAATGAAAGATCGATTTATTTTACACAAAAACAAGGTTTTTGAAATGATATAAAATTTACGATTAATTACTATATGTTATTTACGAACAACAGGAACATTATTCGTTACTATAAAATGTGACAGTTATTTATTATTGAAAAATACTTATAGCTAGATACAACATTAATCCAATACTACCTAACAATATCATTATTTTGCTGAAATACTTCTATCAGCTGCTTATTTCATTATAGTTGACCTCACCTACAACTTAAATGATCAAATTAAACAATAAAGTGTAAAGTCTGATGGGAAGATTGTTGAGTAATTGGAGATATCATTATGTTAAAATTTATAACCTTATAATGATTAAAAAATCATTTTGAACATGATATGACCAGCTTTCAATTCAGTGTAATTGCAAATTCTTATTTTACCGAATAACAGTTTTCCATAAATTTACTACGTCAAAATAATATCAACACATTATTCCGTTTACCAATTGGTAAATATAATGCTTATTCTATGAACTAGAATTATACAAATCGTATTTGTCTGTTAATTGCTCTACTACATAAAACATCTGCACTCCTAGGCTTAACATATTGAAAAGTTGAGTTATGATGCAAATTTGTTATGTCATCAAATGTTTTCGTTGTATTATTTACCTGATTTTTATTTTCAGCTCTTTTCTACACTCGATTATAGAGTATACTTATTTATGTATGATATCATCGTTTCCTTTATCTAAACTAGACTTCCATTATCTTCCAATCTTCAGTCATTTCAGATGATGAATTTACTAGGTGTGAATAGAAAGAATTAAAATAAGGGTGACGCAAATTACTACATCAAAAAAGTGAATTAATAAAAGGATGAATAAAAGTCCAAATATGTCTCAGTATTGTTTATAAATCTATGATACCTTACATTAGGAAATTAGATAGTCATCAATCTTCCAGACCACATATTCTCATGTACCTTGAGAACCTAGTTTACTATTATAACCTATGTTGAACATACTTTCAACCAGCCTGTTAAAGTTAACCAGTTTCATCCAATAATCGATGCACTCTTACCTCCTATTGCAATAAACAACTGGGTGATGATATGCTAGTCATGAAACCCGAGAATTGTTATTGCTTTGTTAGGTCGGTAGGTGCTTAGATTTATACAATTAGTTGACTTAACTGATCGGATAACGATTAATTACCTCCTGTGATCAGCATGCTAACCTAATGATTAGCCAATTGATATATTTTGTCAAGATGAAAGTAGTCTAACTATACGATGTTTGGTCATTTATTTTATTTATTTCAGTATTTTTTTAAACTTACATTGACTCCTTAACATCAATCAGACGACATCCTATTACCTCGATCGGATAATTTCAGATACAAACCTCAATTTAAGTTGGTTTTTTTTACACTTTGTTAGCTAACGTTTTTTTGAGGATACTTGTATGGTTTGAAACAGTTATCGTCACATGCTTATATCAATAACTGAACCACTGAGTGGAAATCTAATTATCTCTACTTCTGAACTTCAACCAAATCAAGACATGGAGTTATATTCACG